GAGGAGGAGGAGGAGGATGGGAGCCTGGGGAAGGCTTACACAGGTAACACACGGTCCCTGCAGGGCCTGCAGCTGCCCCACCGAGCGCTGTGCCAGCACGGCAGAGCCCCTGAGCGCACACCCCCTCCCTGAGCGCACACCTCCAGCCGCCGGGGTTTGGCTGCATCTCCGGCGCTCCCCGATCCAAGCACGGGTTCCCCATCCCACAAAGCACAGGGACCCGCAGGCGGCAAGCGCGGCTAAAAGGGAAAGGATTTCCACACCCCACCCGCTGCCCGGAACCAGAATGTGAATGTGGATGGGACAGAGCGAAGCAGGAGCAATGTTTCCTTCCCCTTCACATGACCTGGATATTCAGCACCCACTGCTACGTGCTGCCTTTACAGCCGTGCTTCTCTAACCTCAGAGAAGGTGCAGGTTCTGAGCATCCACAAAACAGAGCTACCACGTCCCCCAGAATGAAAGAGTGGCCACCCCGTAACACTTCAAAACACCTTGACCTTCACCTCCTCACTGACCGCTGAGTTATTCCTCTCTGCCTCTTTTTTTTCTTTTTTTTTAGGTGCTACTTATAAGCAGAAAACTAGAGAGGTTTTCAGTTAAGTGCAGGCATTCTGGTTTGGGTAAACAAACTATTTGGCTATTTTGAGTGAGGGGTAAGAAAGGAAAAAAACTGCCGGCGAGGCTGGAGTGCCACTACTGAGGTGCGCAGGTACCCTGGGCTGACCAGGTATTTTGGGCTTGGAAAAAAACACCACTGGTTTTTCCATCTCTAGCAGACAAAGTGGACTAGGCTACTCACAAGCAGTTTTGGAGACTGCAAGAGACCCAATAACTTCTAATTTTAGCCTAAAAAAGCCTGCTAAAGCTGTCGTCTCCAGCCACACGCCCCTCTTTCCCGATCACCCTCCGGGCAGGAGCGTAATCTCTGAGAGCTCCTGAAGCATCACCAGTTCCGGCCCAGCACAGGAACGTGAACCAGCTCCGCTTCTGGCTCACCTTAATGCACCAAACTCAAAGCTGCAGAAAATAAATCAGCCAAGGCTCCTGCCTCAGAGCTGCAGCAGGAGCAGGGAACAGCCGCAGCACTCGCTATCCAGTCTTTAAATCTGCCAGAGCAGAGCCACAGTTGCGAATTTTTTGTCGCCGCTCAGCAAGCACCGAGTGATTGCCCGGTAATTAACCTACAATACATTCCACAGGGGATTACGTGTAACACCTTGGGCACGGACAAATTACAGGATAAAAGAGGAACATGCTCACTTTGTTACTTCTCTCCCGCACCTTCAATCTCCCGCTTACAACTCCGAAAGAATGAATTGCCCGATAAAACTGAAGACAAATTACAAATAATTACGGGTGTTTTTTTCCCCCTCGCTGCAATGAATATTTGCCAGCGTGTACTCTACCTACAGGTCTATTTTCAGGTCACTGTCACTCTGGTTACATTAAACAAAAAGACAAAACAGACAATGTTACCCTGGCGCCCAACTTGATCGTGCAAAGACGTTTTTTTCTTCCTGCAGAACAAGAAAATAACCAGTTTGGAAAAGGGAGAAAAAGCTCAGTCCGGCCCACCACGTTTTCCTGGAGGGAACAGGGCTGAACTTGTAGACAGCAGAGACAGAAAGCACCTTTAGCCTGCTTTCTCAGGATACCTGTGCAGCCTGACCCTTTCCAAACACAGGAGTGTACACACAGCAAGAACCTGTCAGAAGCAACACTGTTAGGGCCATCTCTGAGAACACCCTGCAGCACAGGCAACAGCAGTTGTCATGCCAAAAGCAAAGGAAGAACGAGGCATTTTAACAAGGATATTGTTGAGCACTGCAGGTTTAACCTCCCTATTTATCACCCAGCCATAAGCATCCATTAACAGGCACCTCCAACTCAACATCTGCCTTTTTATAGACACGAACTGTAAATGACATGGTGCTCTATGAGATTTTGTTCTGCCTGTCCCTCACCACCTGTCCACCTCTGCTGCTGAACAGAGGCACTCTTAGGTATCAGGTATCAAAGTTCACCTACTGTACTGAAGTAATCCAACTAATTGATCTGTGCAGCCAGGACTTCTGGAGTCAGTGCAATCACCGTCACCGTTCCAGTACCTGATGGCCAGCACGTGCACAGTAAAAATTCCCATCTGAGTGTAGCAGTGGTGCCATTTAGGTTAACTCACACCTCCACATCTTGGCCTATACAGGGGTTTTTTCATGCTTACATACATGTAATTTTAAAGACATTTTTCCTTATCGAACCCAAGGGAGGCAAAAGCCACCACAGAGAACACTAATACCATGAAGTTAGATCATATAACATATCAGCAGGCTCCTTCAAGCATAAGCAGTACTCATCCATCCTCCTTCCTTCCCATTCTAAACCATGTTTGGGTAGAAGCTACCGATGTTTTTCACCTCTAATGCACCGTTAAGCACTTTACTTTCAAAGGCAAAATACTTCCTGCAGCCACAAAAGACTCATTTTGTGGAGTCTCTGTCTCACAGTGCCACCACCCCAAGCAACTTCCAGTGACTGCAAGAGTACATTCCACCAAACAACAGCAGAACACCAGATCCCATTTGGAATTCACCGCTTCAAAACTGTCCCTCGTGACACGAGGTGAACCAGAAACCACAGAAATGACTCAGTAAAACTCAGCAAACCTTACTTCTGGCAGAGGGCTGGCCGGTTTGGTGAGGATTCCTCCCACGTAAACGACGTTGGGAAGCGTCGGTCTCGGGAACTCCAGGGCTACATCAGTGCAAAGCATCCACAGGCTGGATCCATGGACCAAGTCGTACATGGACCGCTCCGGAAGAACCTTGTGTTTCTGCATTATCCGTTCGTATTTTGGCAGAACCAAAAAGCTGACCCCGAACCTCGAAATGAGATAAACAACAGTGTTTTTAATCCTCTCGAAGAAGTTCATGTGATCCGTGAGCAGCGAGTTAAATTCGGGGACGTAGGACAGGGGAGCCGGAGCGCCCACTTCTGCTGGATACCAGAGGCCGGTGGAAAACACGGCGTATTTAACCCCCAGAAGATGAGCTATAACAAATCCGCACATCTCGTTGGGATCGACCAGGAGCAGGTCAAATCTTTCCTGTTTCAGGGCACGCATGAGGTTTTGGTTGCCGACGATCATGTCGCAGTTCTTGGTGTAGTGGTCCAAGATGTCGAACAGTTCGAGGGCTGTCAGCCTCCCCGAGAAGATACTCCTCATCTTGGACTGGAGGAAATCATCCGAGGTGCTGCTGTTAAAGATCCCTGGGTAGCGCTGAAGTCTATAGTGATTAGATGGAGGAATCTCTCTGCCCTCAGAGAGGAGAAACACTGTCTGGTGACCTTGGTCATGCAAGGCTGAGGCCAGAGTCTTGAAAATATAAAGATGGCTTTCAAACATAATTGGCGGCACGACGACGATTTTGGCAGCCCTCGCTATCCCGACGGCACTCCACAGGAGAATGAAAGCTGGAGCGTACGGCTTCATAGCTGGAACGGGAAAGGAAAAGCGTTAGAGCGACACACGACAGACTTGTAACCTGCTGGGGAATTTAAGGCAAGTTATTATCTGGCTGTCCCACGAAAGCTCATCCCGTCTCCCCGCTTTGGAGCCATCCTTGCGGTGGTCACGGGGAACGAGAGAGACTCCGTTTCAGAGCGCACTTGGCAGTGCCCTGTTTCCGGTGAGATCCGCCTTTCCCCCACCCCTCCCTTTCCATCTGGCATGGAGGGTAAACAAGAGACCTTTTCCAACGCAGACAGCGATCTGGCACCTGCGTGAAGCAGCGGGGAAGCCAAGTGAGGCTGCGAGGTCGGTGCCCTCCACGCAGGTACCACGCGCGGCACTTCCGAATCACAGACGTCACCCGACGGCTCCCAGATCGTCACGTCAGCCCTGAGAGCTGCATCCTGCTACACTTGTGATTACACTTAAAAGCACAACTGCGTCACTGGTATTAGAATTTATGAAGTGGCTAAGAAAGATGCTAAGTTTAAAGACCCCAAGGCTAAAATCCTGTACTTATTCACACGTGAGACCCAAAGAAATCACCAGTACTCATATTCCGGTGCACAGGATATAAGATGACTTAGTACAAATGCAACTCAGTTCCTCAACTGGAACTTCTACATCCATTTTGCAGTCCGAGCACACCACACTTCACACTACTGTTAACATGGTTATGAGCATTCCTGCTACAAGCTCTTGTCTGACAGTTGTCCACAGGCTTCAGGCTGTCCTCCCTTAAGTTGCAACTCTCTAGTCTGATTTAAGGATAACATCTTCTGAGGGTTTGTTTTTTTTTTCATATAAGCCAAGAGGAGTAGAGAAGATTAAGGTAGTTTTTTTCTTCTAAAAGCACATGCAAATCCATGCAATATTTTCCTTTAGTGTCAACACTGATCAGCCAGACAGGGATGCAAAGTCACAACCAGGCAGGAAGAGGCTACCAGAGAGTAAGAACCAACTTGACTGTGAGCTTTCAAAAATTACACTTTGTGTACGAGATGAAATGTAGTAACAGGAGGCAGCACCACACACGTGAACATCTCAACTTCCACTGAAGCACTTGGACAAGTACTCGATTCTGAACCTACTTAAATCAGCACCTGAACACCCACTCGAGCACCAGCTCTAACCTACACTCAAACAGCCATCCTAAACACAGCTCCTGACAGCAGCAGGCTGCTGGGGAAAGGGAAAACACTCCTTACACCCCTGTTTTGGGGGTTTAAAACCCTGTATGCACCAGATGAAAGCCAAGTGCGTTAGAAGCACAGAGAGGGCACGTCAGAAACTCCTCAGTCACCATAACCCTCCTAGGACAGAGAAACAAGCACACGCCAAACCAAACAATCTGCTCTTTCCTCGTGCCAAACCAATCCATGCAGAAACCTGAGTCTGTTGCAGTGTCCTTTGTAAATAAGAACAACAGATAATGCTGCTACTCAGGCCTTATCTCCTTACACTGTAGTCTTATAACTCTCCTAAACACATTGCTCAGGACTCTTTAGTTTGGTTTTTTTTTCCATGTTATGTGGGTTACCAGCCCACAAATAGAGCATCTCGTATTTTATGTAATTCTATATAAAATACTATAATTATACTTACTATATACTACATGGTTACCGTGCAATAATTGTGTAATTTAGGTTTATTGCTGTCCAATATGAAGTTTCTGAAGGGAACATCAGCAGAAGCACCTGAGAAGCTCGCCATGCCGCACCACTGTCACGGACATCAGCAGAGGGCTGTGCAAGGGCAGAAGTGCACAGGCTTGGTGTGGTGCCAACAAGCCACGGAATCATTTAGGCTGGAAAAGGCCTCCGAGATCGTCCAGTCCAACCTTGGACTGATCACCACCTGGTCAACTAGACCAGAGCACTCAGTGCCACGTCCAGTCGTTCCCTGAACACCTCCAGCGTCGGTGACTCCACAGCCTGCCTGTGCAGCCCATCCCAATACCTGGCAACCCTTTCCATGAAGAAATTCTTCCTGACGTCCTCTTGTACTGTCACTGCTTGCCTGGGAGAAGAGGCCAAGCCCCACCTTGCCACAACCTCCTGTCAGGGAGTTGCAGAGAGTGAGAAGGTCACCCCAAGCCTCCTTTTCTCCAGGCTGAACCCCAGCTCCCTCAGCTCCTCTCCAGACCCTTCCCCAGCTCTGTTGCCCTTCTCTGGACACGCTCCAGCCCCTCAGTGTCCTTCTTGAAGCAGGGGGCCCAGAACTGGACACAGCCCTCAAGGTGTGGCCTCAGCAGTGCCCAGTACAGAGGGAGAATCACTTCCCTCATCCATGTTCAGCCACCTTCAACAGGGCCCCACTGCAGGATAACACTCCTTAGAAAAGAGTGGTTTAAAAAAGCCAAACCCCAAAGTGATGCTTCAGCAATGAAACATCCAAGAAAAATGATGAATCAAACTTGGAAAAAGCCCATTATTGATTCCATGTCCCCACGCTAGGAGCATTCCCATGGTATTGAGTTACTGCTCCTGTCCACAACAGCGATATTACAAAACCATGAATGGAGGAGCAGGATGGGGAAAATCAGTGTTTCTGTCAGCAGCAGAAATCAAAGGCTCCAGCAGCCTAAGGGCTACTCAGGATCCACCAGGTCGCCAGACTCCGGCTCTACTCCCATCTCCTGACCCCACACAGGCCCAGAGTGCAGCGCAGGAAGACGATCCTTAGCCCTAAGGTGTATTTTCCATGGCCAGGGTTATGCACACGCCATCAAAAGCCATGGGAATTCCAGCTGTACTTCCCTGGGATGCTGGCAGTGCCGCCCCGCTGCTTCCTATCCCCCACACTCACCAAACAAAAACATTTTGAATAGGAATCATATTGCATACTTTACTCTTTGTGAAGGCATTTTAAAGCACTGCCTACCTAACAAGCAAATCTGATAATGTACCTACAAAAAAATTTATCACATTTTTGTGGTTTTTTTTCTTCTTGCAGTGTATCAATGTCAAGAGATGACAACACACTTCCCTGGCAGCCTGTACCTTGTGGTACCTTCAGAACTGGTAAAACCATCATCGCTTCTCCAAAACCTATTATGCAACTCGCCTTTTCAACACAAGCACCTTCCACAGGGACAGGAAAAAAAATGTACAGGCCCTGCCAAGCCAGAGGGATATTTAAACACATGATGCTATTAGAGAAATGCAGATTAAGTGACATTTTTACTGGGAAAAATGGCACTGACCTTCTATCGAACTTCTGGCAGGAACCTGCAGCCTCATCATTTCATGCCCTGGCCACAGAGAAGGAGAAGCTTGGCAGGCTTCAATTTAAGAGGAACAAGGGCAATAGGCAACAGCATTTTGTAAGCCCCCCAGGGGTCAGGAAAACATTGAGGGGCAGCTGGAAGCCAGCTCATCCCAGCCACAGGGACTCTTCCCACTAACTCCCAGTCACACTCCAGCAGTAAACTCCCAGAACAAATCACGGGCCAAAACAAACAAAAAGGATCAGCAGCCAGTGCAACTGCCTTCTGTCTCTGCACACACCTGGGGCATGAAGAAGAACTGTCAAATGTCCTGGCAGAAGAAAGGAAAAGAAAGCCCAAAGACAAAGGATGATGAGTTTCTCCACGACCATAAACAATATAAAGCCATTTTGTACCCCTATCTTAAGTCCTTTTTCTTAGGATTTGCCTCCATCAAATGAGACTGTTTCAGGGTCTGAGCTGGTGTGTAACATCCTTTTATCAAAGAGAGCAAAAAAAAAAAAAAATCCAAACTTGCTAAAATTTAAACAACAACAAAACCTCCAATCAACCAACAACGCCCCCAAAACAATCACTGAATCAAAGCCATTCATTTCAGCCCAAAAGCCCTAAAAGCAATGCTATGGAGAAAAAAAAAATATGCAGAGTGGCTTTATAGGAGGGAAAGCACCTTCTGGCTGCAAAGGGTTCACCTACTGGAGCACAGCAAGAAAAAGTTGAATATTAAAGATAGACCAAGTCAAACATTAAACCTACTCCAACAGTTGCTCATTAAGTTAATGACCTACATTCAAATGAAAGGGAAAGTGTGAGTTTTGAAGTGTTACAGAACACCAGACATACTCTACGAGACAGCTGACCAAAACACTTATAAATCCTGATTTATTTTTTTTTTAAGGAAGTATTTTTCCATTCACTCAGGAGGACCAAGCAGGATCCAGAACAAGAAGTGTGACTACGTAGAAAATAGTGACTTCCAAGGGAAAAATAAGAGGGAGGGTCCTTCCCCCCACATAGTTCACAAAGTGCTGATATCTCAGAGCTAGACAGTGTGGAAATAAACTGAATGACATTTAGGTTTATATAAATGACATTAAAAAGTCTTAATGCTTACATTATTACTATAAGAATTAAGTGGCACTATTTTAGATTAATTCCAATTAATTAGTGTAACAGTCAGTTACGGTGCTGGAACACATATCCAAAGTGAGATTTAGATTTGCTGCCAATCCTTAATAATCTGCTAATCACTCCATAATTAAAACTTACAAGCACGTTTGGGGTTTTTTTTTCTGCTTTATACCACTGGCTGCCTACCTGCTATTTCTGGATGTCTCAGAAATAACCATTTTCGAGCCAGCAGCATAATTATTGGTGTTTTCCTCCGCTGTAGACAGGTCTAGAAGCAGAAGAGGCTCTCCAGCACCTCCAGACACAGCACAGCTTGAATTCAAACTGCTCCAGTGTTTATATCACTCTGAGAAGAGTAAACAGTTCCCAGGCACTTACACCTAAGGATATAAAAAGTCCTTTTTATTCACTAGTAACACACAACACTCCCGGCTTTAACGCAGCAAGGGAGGCTTTACAGAGCTTGTGCTCGGCGATGCCACTTGATCTTTTAAGTTCTTCCCTTCAGGTTTGTTGAGGTTTGATGAGTTTACCCGGGCAGCTCGAGCAGAATCTCTGCCGGGAAAGGTGCCCTTCGTCCCAGACAGCAGCGGAGGGGCAATCTCCGAGCTGCCGATCGCTCTC